ATATACTGACGAATCCCTGTGGAGCCCAGTAAAACCACAGGCTTTCAGAACTATGTGAAAGACACCTCCAGATGCCTGCTGTGCAGCAAAGCATCAGAGATGACCTTCCAGCCAGGGGTACAGACCCAGAGCCTCAGGTCAAGTGCCCAGGGACTTAAGAGATTCAGGCATTGGCTCATGTTGTTGGACAGGCCATCTAACCTCTCATGGGCCCCAGGCTGCCCTCTGCAGTTGCAGGGCCAAACTAGATGAACTTATAAACCAGCTCTCAGCTCTGATGATCTATAATTGTACATCTCCTTCCCCTGAAGGCAGATCTGCTGCCTGCCATCTAGGATGCCCCTGTGGAGAGCTGTAAGAAGCACTTCACTACACGCTTGTTTGTTTTTTTTAACCCTCTCTCCTCCATGCAATCTCCTCTGGTATTGCTTTCTGCCATCAGTAGAGTCAGAACAACTGACCTACTCTCTTCCAGGCATCATTCTTCATACATCTGAGAAGCTCAGATCCTGTCTGCACTCTTCCTTTCCCCAGAATTGCAGAATATGACAGCTTGTTACCTCTGCTGGGAAGATGCCAGACCCAAGAAGGCTGACAGCAGCCTGGCTCTCTACTTGTGGCCATCTCCCCTACTGCCAGGCGGTGTCTTAACCTGAGGACTGCTCCAAGGGAAGGCTGGGGCTTCCTCTCATTTTGCCAGAGCTCATAAATGTGCCCTTCCAGGGAAGATGGTAGGTGGACTCTGTGGTGGCTAAAAACAAAATTCATCTGGAGGTTTGTGATCCCCAAGGAGAGACCATCAGGGTTCCTAGCAGCAGTTGCACAGGCAAAAATCAATCTCCCCTGAAAACCAATTAGGTGAGCACATAGGATTTTCACTTTGGCAGCTGAGCTGTTAGAAGCAGCCTGCTTTGGAGAGGAATCATCAAAAAGAATGTTCCTGGACAGGACCATCTTGCTTCTCCAACTCATTCCTCGGCCAGCAGCCAATGTCTTAACAACTGCTTGGCCATTTCAGAGCTACTGGGCACCCTGGCTCAGATGTGCACAGGGAAAGCCACAGGTCCTGAGGGCTGACCAGAGCCAGCTGCTAGCATCTCTCCCAGACTGAGTCAACGCCAAGGTCCAGAGGGCACCGGGGACTGGACAAAGCATTCTGGAGACATTGAGCCTCTAGTCTTACAATGTTCCTGTCCCTGTATGATGTATGGAGAAAATGATGCCCACAGATATTAACCCAGGCACATTTCAGTAACATGGGTAGATGTGGGAATTTGTTTTTCCCCCACAGTCCTCTCTCTCCTCTTAGGTCAACTTAGACTGTGATTCAAACATCTGGAGATCTAACTGCTATGATGTCTTAGGACAAAGCCACTTCTTTTATCTACCTATAAATCAGAAATTAGAGCATGGTCAGAGGGCTGCCATGCTGTTGTGGGTTCTGAGGATATACATAGGTTTTATAATGTATTATCTGCCTGGCTCAGGATCAGGACTTCTTTCTTCCCTAGCCCCCAAGGAGTGGCAGCCACTGCTGTACCTTGGCACACCATCTTGCCGGCATCTCTCAGGTGGCACCACCTTCCAGTGGACTTGTCAGGTGTGCCACAGGACATGGGGCTACTGCCAACCAGATACATGCTGGAGTATAGCAGCCCATAGAGCAGGAGGGGAAAATAGCATAGCCCTCTTTTTACCCACTGCTTTAGAAAAGCAGACCCTGAGGTTTCTGGGCAGTGCTCCTATATGACAGAAAGAGATGGGGGTGAGGGAGGCAAAAATGTACAAAAAGAAGGGTAGGATACATGCTGATTGCTACTGGGAAAAGGGTACCAGGGGCCTGATAAAGCTTAGGAACACTCAGCTCAAACCACTTCCAGAGGAGGTGTTTACATGGGTCTCTACTCTAGTGTTGGCGTCAGCCGATGCTTTGCCAGTCGCAGCAATGGGAGGCATGCAGGCAGGCTGTAGCAGGCTCCCCCGGAATGTCACAGGAATGCTCTGTGCTAGTCAGAGTGCCTGTGCACCTCTCTTGGTCAGAGGAAGGCAAAAGGACAGAGTAGCTCCTGCCTCTTGACCTTGACTTCTCCAGAGAAATGAGCAAAAGTTGTCACATATACCCTCGTTTGTTCCTGAAACCCAACAGCTATTCGCTATGAGAAGTTCAAGCCACTGCTATGTTAGTTGATTTTTTTCACATCCCTTCTTGGTGCCTAGAAAAAAATCTCCTTGGCTGCCAAAACTGTGGCAGTCCATCCACCCACAAGAAAGAATCTGCTTGTTTTGCAGAAGGAAGCCAAAGGAAAAGCACTTGAAGGGTGCCATCAGCTACAGAGAAGGCTGTGTAAGGAACTTTCTTCTCTTCCTCCCATCTGTCTAGGGAAGAAGTTCACAGACTCTGCTCTTCATTTAACCTTAACCTTGGGAATATCCCAAGACTGCCAGGTCTGGAAACAAAAGAAACTGTGGTTGAAAAGTGGATGTCCCAACCCCGCCCATCATAAAACCCCCACATTTGTCATTCTCCATCGTATCCCAACTGTTCCTCTTCTGGACCCATGCCACGCCATCAGCAACTTTCTGGATGAGGAGCAAATTATAAGAGAGGAGAGGAGAACCCTTCCCCAGCCAGCAGCACTACAGGGCCTGGAAGGAAGGAGGCCGGTCCATCCCCAGGGGGCTGATCTCCAACCTGCACTCACCTAGGACAGCCACAACAAAGGGAGAACAGCAAAGTCCCCCAAAGGCCAGGAGGTAGGCCAAAGAGGATGCCAAAGATAAAGCGCCTTTCAGCCTTGTCTTTTTGTTTTGGGGTTGTTTTTTTTTCTTTTGTCCATTGTGGGACCTCAACTCAGGGCCTGGGCACTGTCCTGAACTCTTCTGCTCAAGGCTAGCACTCTATCACTTTGAGCCAGAGCTCCATTTCCCTTTCAGCACTTCTTGACCAGATTTTACCAGTCTCTCAAAGGATCCCAAGGGGGAAGAGCTCCCACCATGCCAGGGCCTTCTGCCAGCAGCCTGTAAGCCCAACAAGTGGCCCAGGATTGCCACCTAGTGGGCTCTGCTCAACATGCATAACAGGATAAGGTCAAAAACCAGCAGTAGAGTGGTTCAGACCAGATCCTACCCCACTGCTCCAGGACTTCATTCACTGTGTCTGGTGGGATTCCCTCTGGCTGTGGTAACAGCCAAAATTGTTGAGAAAAACAGAATAGGAGAATAGATAGAATGGAAAGCAGGAAGGAATTAGTTACATTCTCAGAGTCTAGCCTTCTTTCCTAAGCCCAGACAAGCAGCACCCAGAGCCTACCTCAACCAAGAGCACAAAATGAGTGGGGCAGGTACATCAATTCCAAAATTCATGCCCATACAAACATGCTGAGAACTGAACTGATCCGAAGACTTTGGCCTAAACCTTGATGTGAATGCCTTTGCATGGCCATGAGTGGCTCTTACTGCAGCACGGCCTAGTAAGGGGGCCACACAGAGTGTGCCTTCTAAAGGGCAGAGAGCTACACAGATTCATTCAACTGTGAAAACCAACAACTATGATAGGAGCTGGCCTGGTAAACTCATAGTGCTAGTGTGTCCCAAGTACTACTTCGAGCACTCTGTGTGCATTATTACAACGCTCCAGGAAGCGCTCTCACCTTCTTCACACACCAGCATAGACACAGGAGACAAAATGACAACCTTGAGGAACATACATGAGTTCCGTCCCAGGCACTGGGTTCCTGAATCCATGTTATGTCACTACTTACCACTCTAGCTGCTAAACACAACCAACTATAACTCCTGCTCCAAAAACCCAAAAACTTTCTCTAGCCAGAGAGCCCAACCAAGAGTCAGAGTCCTGCTACTATAACCAAGTCCTGCTACTTGGTTCTTGGAGACAAGAACCAAGGCCCAGCAATACCAATTTTTTAAGGGAGAAAATCAGCTGTCTTCAAAGAAGTACAATCAGAGGTCAGGAAGGTCCCACAGATAATGGGACCAGGACAGCAGATGAAAACACAGATTTCCTTCCCAGTACTAGTGGTGACTCCAGGAAAAGCAGAGGGCAAGGAACATGAGAATGCCCTCCACCACCATTGCTCTCCCCTATCCTTCCAGACCTTGTAGAGGTCAAGAGGGCTGTGCTGAGGTCAGCAAAAAGCACCAACCACTCTTGGCCAGCTGTGTCTTCACAAAGGAGGGCAAAGGCTGGGCCCACAACAGCGTTGCTGAGTTCCCAGAGGAATTTCATAAATTCCTCATTAGCATGGAAGAGCTTCATTTAAGGTGACAGATGGTACAGCGCTAATAGGCTGGCTACAACTGGGATGGAGAAGTTCAGGCTCGCCACAAAGGGAATGAGTGGGAAAGCAGGGTGGGTATGCTTACTTATGCTTGGGGGGTTCACCCAGGGCTTCTAGAGACAACGGTGTATAGACTCTGAGTCCCAGGCCCAGAAGTAGCCATGCTTGACCAGGGCAAAGGTTCTAGCAAAGCCTCTAGCACCAGTGGCCAGTCTGCTTAGATCCAGTCTCAGTCCTCATCCTGACCCAACTTCCGGGAGAGAAGCCCCAGCTTTGGAAACTTTTCTCTGATCCCATCTACTGCTAGGAAAGTCTTGCTTTGTGAAGTCTGCCCAGGGCCAAACTTCGGACAGATGGCTGGGGAAGAGCAGTGTGCTTTGCCATAGTCAGCATCTTGACAGAAAGTCTTTGTAACAACAGACACATGTCTGAGGTTTCTGTGGAAGCTCAAAGGTCAGCTGCCTATTAGGCCACTGACCACTAAAAAGAAAAGTCCAAGACAACTCTACAGAACACACCCCACTTACTGCTCTGTTCCTAGAATATCTTGGCAGAGGTAACAACACAGTTCCTGGGCACGGAGAACCAAGCAGTCACAACAGCAGCAAAATACTCTCGTAAATGATCTGAGCACAGGTCTGGGGAAAACACAGATTACTGGATGTCCTCAGGATGAGGTCCCAAAGATACCAGGAGATGTAGGTGTGTCTGTTGTGATTGGACATAAAGTATCCTCCAAAAAGGCTTATGCAGCTCCCAGCAAGTGGACCCAATCATTGAGAGGTAACAGGATCACAAAGATTCTGACCTAGTCCTCTGATGTGTACTACTGGGCAGTGATGGAAACTTCTGGAAGCAAGGTAGTTCACTGGAGGCCTGTCCTTGAGGGCTATCGCTTCTCCTGGGGCTCGGTCTTGAGGTTGGTAGATCTTTTGCCTTACCATGGTCAGCCAGACTAAAACGTCTGAAGTGATAAGCCAAAATAAATCTTTCATCCTTTGAAATTGTTTCTCAGGAATTTGTCAGAGTGGCCAAAAAAACTGGTTAACAGTGCCCAACCAACATTTATAGAACAGAAGGCCTACCAAGTATGGATCAAAGGTGGATATGGGAGTCATGAGCAGGAAATAAGGAGACAATGAAAGAGGGTGAGAAACCTCTAACCGTCCCTCAACTGCCATTCTTTTCTCCTTCATTATAAGGAGTTTCAGTTACATTACACTTCCTAGACAACCTATAGCTAAGAGTGGTCATATGACTGCCCATCTAGCCAACAAGATCCATTTAGAAATGACACGTCTCCCATACACTCTTGAATTTAATGACTGGTGGGACATACTCACTTGTCCCTTTCCCTACTGGTGAGAACTGGAGCAAGCACTGTGAACTCACAGCTGCTGGGTCTACCAGAGGCCCCACTAGCCCTGGAGCACCTGCCTATGTGAAAGAAGAAGGAACATCTTTCTGTTTACGCCACTCTATCTCTGGGTGTCTTTGTGTAGCAACTAGCCGATACTCACTATGATCCAAGAACTCATCATGGACAGCACAAACATACACTTGGAAATGGGAAGTGAGGTCCTTCTAGTCACCCCCTTGTCAAGCATCTGACAAAAGCCAGAAACTAAAGAATGATCTTCAAACTTTCATTCTTCCTCACCCACATACCCAGTACTTACTAAATGCACTCATACTTTTTCTCCACTCAATTCCCCAAACACTACATTGTCTTTCACCTGGGGTCATCATGACCTCTCTCCTGGGGGGCTTCCCATGGATCTCACTAAGTTCCTGCCTACTACAAGCTAGCTTTCATCTCTGTGGAAATCTCACAAGCTCCCTCTCTCCCCTGTGCCTGTCAGACTAACCTGAGGGCTCCCATGCATGCTCTCAAGCTGCCCAGGTCCTTTAAGTATGTCCTCCCCACTGACTCCTCCTCCCCCTTCTCCCTCTTCCTTGGTCTTTGTCTAACCCTTACTTTTTCTTACTTGTCCTGTCAGCTCCTCAGAGATTTTTGAGGACCCCAAAATTTTGAGGTCTCTTTCTCTAATACCCGCTATTAAAATTGGACACATCAGTTTTTAACTCAAGTATTTACCTGTTTAATGTTCGTTTCTCCAATAAGACCATAGACTACAGCAGCCTAGAGCCAAGGGCATTTCAGTATGCCAAAGACAGTGCATACAATAGAACCCATGGCAAACCATGGTGGAATGATGAATAGCACATGGAGAGAAAGGGCAGAAGATCTGCAGCACAGAGGCTAATAAAGTGAGGTCAAAGGAAGGGTTGCTCTTGGTGTGGAATACCACATGGAAGGAAGTAAAGGACATTTAAGTAACTGGTTGGAAAGAAGATAATGGTGGTTTCTAAGAAGAAGATAATCATAAAAGTGGAAGCTAAGTTGAAATGGTGACTTTACCGTGACTCTAAGCTATTCTATAACAAAGGAAAAGGGAGAGTCAGGTGGCACCCAGAAGAACTGTTTGAGAAAGGTTGAAGGGTGTCGGTTTCATTAGGTGTGGGTGTGGAGAGGGGAAGCCACAGTGGGCTCTGAAGGGAGGGGAGGAGCTAGAGCTGGAATCCAGGTCCAGGTCATCTACAGGTAAGGCTTTTTTGAAGAAGAGGAGAAGCCTTCCTCTGAGCTAGGGACTGAGGAAGAAAGGACAGTGAGGCAAGAACAGAGAGGGCTCAAAGGAGATGTGTGGAAGGCATGGGGTGGATGCAGCAGGAACCGTCACAGAATTATTGGAATGGAGTGAAAGGGAGAAGCAGCAGCAGCAAAGACAAGTAGCCCTGAGGATGTCACACAGTATGCCCCTGAGCAACAGCCAATCCACCCAGAACATCACAGGTCCTGGCAAAGCTAGACTCAAGTGTGGGAAAACAGCTGGTGAATGCGCTACCAGTGCGAGCTCAAGTCTTGCACGGTGGGCCTGGAAGGAAGCGCGCTGCCTGTGGCCAAGGGTCACACAGACCCACAGCTGTGAAACGCTTAGAACAGTCTTAGGCCAGCACTTAGAGCAGTCCGTGAAGATATGCTCCGAGGAGAGCTAAGAACAAGCCAACAGAGTAAGGGGAAAAGTAGAAAAAGTAGCTTTCTGATTTAAGACAGGACAACAGAAGAAAAACCCCAACTAGAATAAGGCAGGAAGATTGAGAAACATACTCTGGAAATTGCTTAGGCCTTCTGTGGTCAGTTAAGCTCAGAGCTTTCAGTAGTGCAGACATTGTCCTAGACGCTGTCTTCTCTCACCTACACCCCCACTAGCCCACAGTAGGACTATGTCACTTTCCAGCCGGGAAGCTGCAGCACATGGGACATCTTCCTTACAGTACCGACAGGGCCCCAGCTACCTTTGAGTACCTTCAAGGCCCAGACTTGGGTTTTAAACCTCTGTTAGCAATGTAGCCTTTGAGAATGGGAGGCACAATGAAAAGAAGGAAGGCAAGTGTCTTTTTAGGGAATCTCAAAGAAAATCAGCCAATGACCAAAACCCTGTGCAAGGTTATAAAAGCTGGGACAAGGGTACAAACCTAGGGCACAATTCAGGCTGAGGTACAAGTTTATCCACCATATCTGGGCCCCCATGCACCCTCCCCATGTCAGTCAAGTCCTCCCCAGGGGCCTATAGAGTCCAGCTCAAGCAGCAGTGGATTAAATTTTTTAAAAAAGAAAGAAAAGAAAGAAAAAGCCCTGAGGCAGCAAAGCCCACTCTTCTACAGGGAAGATTAAGGAAGCACTGAAAAGAATCAAGAAGAGGGTGGGGGTGGGGGCAGAAAACCTGCTACATCCCAGCTGCTAAGAGTTAGCAGTCTTACTTCTCATCAAAAACCTCTTCGGCAGAGGTTAAGCACACAATAGGCTATCAAAAGCACCAGCCTCTCGGCTGCTTGAAATTCTGCCCATGTGCCATGGCGATGTATTTCTATTAATGTCCAGTGTGTGTCAGCGCAAAGATAAGGTGCCGACATCATGTCCAACCAGTCAGCTAGAGGATGCGCCCCATGTTCAACACTGTCTGACACTGGGAAGCCCCTGGAGCAAAGGCCCTTGGACTGATCCCACCCAGATGCATTTGTGCATCAGTGTTATGGCCATAGGGTGGAGGTGTGAAGAGGAGCAGGACCCCCAAGGCAAGCCAGGGCTGCTAGGCTGCTGGGCAGATGCCAAGACCACTGCGCAACACAGAAATAAAAGCACAGAGGGTCGTAAATTAGGTCAGAGGAGGGAAGGGTACAATGGGTAGGGAAAAGGAGAAAAGAGTCAGCAGAGACGAGGAGGCCAGCAATGAAGCCACTGAGCGGCACTGGCCAGGCACTGGTGCAAGGGCCATGTGCAGAGGGTGGCCCCGTGGGGCAGCCTTGGCTGCCCACACCGCTACTTGCATTCCAATGTCTTAGTCCCATGGCATTAGAGCTTTGCAACTTGGTATGTATTATACAAAGGCTCTGCAACATACATTTCTCAACAACATCCCTCAGACAGGCCTCCACAATCTCCCAAGCCCTGTCAAGAGCTCCAGAACCCTCCAAAGGAGTCCTACTGAGAACTGGGTGTGGGGCTGGGAAGGTGGCTCAGTGGTAGAGCGCTTGCCTTGCATGCATGAGGCCCTGGGTTCAATTCCTCAGCACCACATAAGCAAAAAGAAAAAAGCTGGAAGTGGTGCTGTGGCTCAAGTGGTAGAGTGCTAGCCTTGAGCTGAAGAGCTGAGGGACAGTGCCCAGACCCAGAGTTCAGACCCCACGACTGGACCCCCCCCCCCAAAAAAAAGAGAGAACTGGGTGTTCTGAGCACCCAGATCCCTACTTACCACAACCCAGAGCTTCCAAAAACACTGAAGTCCCATGTCTGTCAAGATCTGGCAGTTGTGAGAAGCACACATAAAGCTGGGAATCGGGAACGAATGGCCTGCAGACTCTGGAGGCCTGCTTTAGGACAACGGAACACAGGGCAGGGAAGAGTGCAGGCACAAGTCGGGGCTAGAACACTGGCACACCAACTGTGGCTTCATCTCGCCCCTGGGAGCACTCTGTGCGCTTCCCTTCCTGGCCACAGAGGAATAACATGATAACGGGTGCCTTCAGTCTCCATTGGTTACTTGTGCAGCTTCTCTCTCCATGAATTTGGGGGAGGCTAGGCATCATGCGAAGATTCACCGACCCCCTTCTGTTGGTCAGATGGTATGCCGGTTGCTTTGCCTGCATGGAGTATTGATGCTCTAACAATTCTGGGACATTCTGCCATGTGATGCTTGAGGAAGGCGAAGTTCACAGGGTTAAGCAGCAGGCTCAGGAGCATTGAGACCAGGACCTCAACCTTGAGCCCAGAGTCTCGCAGCTGGGTTCCCTAAATTGCCATGCTATGAAAAGTGTTCTTACCATCTGACCAGCCTCCAGACTCTACTTCTTTAATAACAATCCAGATTTCAGGTGAGGCAGTCAGGTGACCAGCTAAAAGGATTCATAATTCCAACCCTCCTCTCATCCAGAGGTGTCCCTGTGACACACTTCCCTGGAGGGTCCCTTCGACAAAAAAAATAAGGAAATTTCACTAGGAAAAGGCTTTAGGCCCTTCCTTTTGCCTGACTGGAAAACTGATGTGATAGCTTAAAGGCACAGTAACCATAAAGAGAGTTATGCTGAAGATGGCTGGTCAAAAAGAAAGGGGAGATTGGGCCTTTTTGATACACCTAACTATCATATCCTCTTGGACTACCTGCCCCTGCACATCTTAATCAGGAGATAAATATACCCCACTGTTTAACGCACTGCCCACAAGGCTTTTGTACTGCTAACTGGTACACATGTTCATCTCTGAGTGTCCATTTTAGAGCCCAGACACATAAGAAGGGGACACAAAGGTAAATGAAAGAATCCAGGACTTCCTTCTGCCTACTGTTGGTGAGTCAGATATATAAGTCCTTTTCAACTCTTTATATTGCCAGTATCCAAGAGTAGCATCTAACCAAGAAGGCAAACACAATCTGATTAACTGACAAAAACCTTTTTCCATAGAAAGAAAAAGTCATGATGTAGCTCTGAAAAGACATGCACTTTAAACCAGTTACCACCCTCCCCATACCCAGCCAGCTGGCTGCCTGCAGCATGCACAGAAGCAAGCAAACACCAGCCAATCTCACTCAGGCAGGAGAGGAAAGGTAAATAAACGGCTGTCAAGACAGTGTACAGTTGCTGGGTCAGCGGGTGGCAGCATGGTGGGAACAGAGGTACACAGGCAGTGTACCAGCACTGCTCCCTGTCCCCGCCTGCATCCTCACTGCTGCACACACCATCTGACTCAGTCATGAACGATCCCCTAGGCTGAAACCAGGTTTCCCACAGCTTTAGCTGGTGCATTGCTCCAGAGACCTCAGCCCAAACACAAAGCCCCAAGCTCCAGCCAGGCCTGGGCTTCTCATAAGAAGAAAGCAGGAAGTCAAGAAGGGGGCCATGGGTCCCCCTGACACCTCAGTTAGATGGAAGTCTATGGCTCTGTTCCCATAGGACACACCGGCCTCGCAGAGGCCAAGGGCCTGGCTGAGGCTGGCAGTCCATTCCCTCAAGAGGCTGAAGAGAAAACACTTCCTTCACAGTTGGTTTCAAATCCCAGACCCAGCTGTCAGCCTCTTTTGCTCTTCCCTGGTGCTAACAGACATTTTCATAGACATGTAATCTGCTAATTAGAAGCAATGACACCCAGAATGGAACCACAACCAGCCATTTCCCTAACAAAGTTAGCAGCTAATGAGGACTTCAGCCTCTGACACACTGGCAGAGGTCACCATGCCACACTCCACAGGCAGATCAGGAGCTAGACTGAGGCAAGTGCAGACTTGTGACAGAGGGAGAGGACACCCACACCCTAGGAGCTAGGCTGCAAACCCACTTGCAATCCACTTCTTCACTGAAGAATACAACACACACCTCGTGCTACTTCTCTGGATTGTATTTGAGCAGTCCACAGGGCAACAGCTTTCTCTAAAAGGCAATCCACAGGCTCCTACGCTCCTTTTCCTAGCAATACCATCCACCTTTGCCTTGCTTACCTGGTACCACCTGTCATGCCTACACCTTGTTCCACACATCTTCCCTTCTGATGAGTTCCCTCCAAGTTTTTCTCCTCTCTGCCACTCGACCTCTCAGAAGACTGCTGGTTAGAAATGAGGACACCTCTAAGGGAAAAGTGGGTCTTAGCCCATCACAACAGCAGATGAAAGGGATGAGAAATAGGAACCTAATGGGCTTCACAGGGGATCTTGGCCTGAAGAGACCTAAGAAGTGATAAGACCAGCAGCAGCCTTCCTGTGGACCCAGAGCCCTTGAGAAGGTTCCATTTTGATTCTGCTCCTGCCTCCCACTCTGCATGGGCTTTGGTGACAGCTGCATGAGGTTGAGGCTCTAGGCTTTCACACAAGTCAAGCTACTGCTGAGAACCCAGTGGATGTCACCTGGCATCACTTATGTACGATGGCCACTGCCTCCGACTCTGGTATCCCCTAAAAGACTGCGCTCAGGATGCAGGGCAACATGGACAGCTGATTCTCTTCCCTGTGCCATTCTTGGCAGAGCTAAGAGCATCCACCTCCCTGAGGCCACAGGTAAGAACTGTCTCAAGGATGGGTAACATAGGATGAGGAGGTCACCCCCATCACTAGTTAAACAGTAACAATTCCTGCCCTGAGGATCATGTGAGCCATATCCCAGGTGAAAATAGCCCACATCCCTCAGGCAGCCAGAGAGTAAAAAGGGCCAATAACTACTCTCAGGTAAATGGATGTCCTGTGTCAGTGTACTAGCTGAATCCAGATCATTGCACCAGAACCATGTGTTGAAGGCAAATGTGTCAAGGACTGTTAAAATAGACTCAAGGGTCACAGCATTAAAGGGTCAGCACTGTTTCCAGCTTAGGATCCATGAGTTCCCTGTATATGTAATAAGCCCCAGTGATCCTGCCCCTCAGCCAGGAAGCCTAGTAGAAACGCAGAGCAAAGCAAGGAGGTCAAATGGTCAATGGCAAGACCACATCAAACAGCCACACTTCCAGGCCCAATCACAGGTCTAGGAAGTCCCAAATGTGGGAGGGACAATTAATGTCCACTACAAAAGCTGATGGAAGGGCAAGGAGCTTAGATAAGCTCTGCAGGTGTTGGATGCTAAGTCCTCATGTAGTCTAAAGATGGAGCTATAAACGACATTTACTCAACCCTCCACACTGACAGCCCATCAGAAGAAGAAGAGGGGCCACTTCTGAGCATGAACACTGTTTTTCTGTCTATACTGTTTTTCTGCATATGATGTCCAGCATTAGCAAAAAAAAAAAAAAAAAACAAGTCACTGAAAACTAAAAGAAAATGTGGCCCATTATCAAGAGAGGAAACAGCAATACAACTGTTAAATGGAAAATACAGGAGGCCATTGTTTTGGACTAAGCTCCCACACAGGCCAGGCTAAAAATCAAAGCGGAGTCATTCACACTGAAGTTCCCCATCACCAAGCTGAAACTAAGCTGCTTATCTGACCTCCCAAGGAATCAGGATTAGAGAGATAGCAGCCAAATTTCCAAACAGGCTAGCTTCAACTGGCATGATCATGAAGTTCCTCTGCCTCAGTCCTTAAACCAAACAGCACAGTCAAAAAAAGCACATCAGCTGTCTTCTATTGTGGTCATCCTATGCCAGGTGCACAGGGAAAGTACCTATGAGAATGGCCAATATACTTTTCATCCTTTCATTTCCACTTTCTTCAGTGTTTCTCTATATGTAACCACCGTCTTCTGCTCAGCCCATCAGAACACTGTTTTATGGAATGAAGTGCTACCTAATTTTAGAATTGAAAATAAAGACAAAAACTTTAAACTAAATTGTTCTACTTCAGTCCACTGGCAGATCAACGTGTGGGAATTACCAGAGCCTTCTGGATAACTATGATAAGTGTGCATAGAGGAGCTATAGGAAGAGGTAGGAAGTATGTATAATAAGATGGGACGTTCAAGCTGGGCACCGGTGGCTCACGCCTGTCATCCTAGCTACTCAGGAGGCTGAGATCTGAGGATTGCCGTTCAAAGCCAGACCAGGCAGGAAAGGACATGAGACTCTATCTCCAATAAACCACCAGAAAACCAGAAGTGGTGCTGTAACTCAGGTGGTAGAGCGCTAGCCTACCACTTGAGTTCAAGCCCCATGACCAACAAAAAAAAAAAAAAAAGGGAATTTCAGCAGAGAAATCCCTACTATATAAAATAGCAAACAGAAAAGGAACCAGGACTTATAGCAGAAGTTCGAGATGTTTCATACAGCCCACTAGACTGCCTCCAAGAAAGAAAAAAAAATCCTCCTCTTACAGATCAGAAGATGAAGGCTATCTGATTGTACCAAGATGCAAAACCCAACACTCAGAAACTGAAACTACCATCAAAGCCCTACCCTATCACTTCCTGAGACACCAGATACACAGAAGACTTTAAAAAATTTGGCTGGAAAGGTAGCTCAGTGGTAAAGTGCTTGCCTTGCATGCGTGAGGCCCTGGGTTCCATTCCTCAGCACCACATAAGCAGAAAAAGCTGGAAGTGGCACTCTGAGCTGAAGAGCTGAGGGGCAGCACCCAGGGCCAAAATTCAGTGTCACTACTGACCAAAAAAAAACAATTTACATCCCCAGAGAAGTACATTCTATTACATGAAGTTTTTCTGCTCACCAGTCAAACACAGCCCACAGCTTCTTTTGGTAAGGTTTCTGATCTAAGAATAGTCTTTATTATTTATTGTTACTTAAAAAAACAAACCACAAGGACTATGTGATCTATATGCCTAAAATAGTTACTTATTTGGCTCTTTACAGAAAAAAAAAATAATGAACCTCTCTGATCTAAAGATCAGTAGACAGAAAAAAAAACAAGAAACAAAACAAACGAAAGTACCTTAAAGAAAGAATGTCATGTTTGTTTGTCCTAGTGTATGTCTTCTCCATCCATCTGGGGTACTATTAATATAGATCTCCATAGGAATTCAAGATCCCTTCTTATAGCTAAAATTGGAAGAGACATAGGAAAAGGACACCAGAGTCTTCAAGTCACTGAAGTTCTAAAACACATAGCCATACCAAATAGCTTCTCCAACACATCAGGACTCACTGGGCCAACACCAGGTACTCTTGTTCAATACCTGAAGCCTGACTTGCCAAAGCCCTCTCACTTCTTGGGTCCAAGCAAATTAAACCTAAGTCTGTAAGTCTCTAACTAGAAGTCAAATGAACTTTTTTTTTTGGGTCCGGTCGTGGGGCCTGAACTCTGGGCCTGGGCGCTGTCCCTCAGCTCTTCAGCTCAAGGTTAGCACTCTACCACTTGAGTCACAGCGCCACTTTTGGGTTTTTTCTTTTTGCTTATGTGGTGCTGAGGAATCAAACCCAGGGCCTCATGCATGCAAGGCAAGCGCTCTACCACTGAGCCACCTTCCCAGCCCCTCAAATAAACTTATTTTAGGTGACTCTCAGATATTGTACTGATTTGGTTTTCTTTATTTTTTTTTTAAAGAGCCAGACTCTACTGGTATCCATTCTAAAGAAGGCACCTCTAGTCACCTGCTTCCAACAGTCAGAAATGGGGCTCCATTATAAGACCTCAAGGAAAAACAAAGGACTGTTGGTCAGCAGCCTCAAAGTAATTGGCACTGTCCTACTTACTAAAGAATTGCCCCCTAACCATTGTCCTGTGTGTTGAACAGTGCTAAGATGACCCAAGTGACACCACCACAAAGGGTTTAGCCAAAGGTGGTTATCATCTGAGGAAGACTACAACAACACAGGAGGATGACACTACGAAGAAAAGCTGCAGCTGAGGTAAAATCTTCTATCTCACTAATTTTAGAAAATTGCAACTCAAAAGCTTAAAATCCCACATTTTTGTGGCATCATGTTCAAATGGTTAACATGGCTAAGGCAGCAGATTCGGAGAACATCCAATCAGTGAAAGGACTGAACAATGACCAGAAAGCCATCTGCCCTCAGAAAGGGTAGTCAGCTCCTCCTCAGGTGGGAGCCCCAAGCTGAACCAGGCAGACCAGGGGTGGGGTCTCCTGCTTCTTCTGGGCACAAAGATTTGGCCCCAACTTCTTGCTTTTCCAGTAAAGACTTCTTACTGCGTGATGTTCAAAGAAGAAAACTCTCTCCTTGGCTCTTTTGAGGAGGAAACTCCTTCCCCAAACTCCCTATAGCATCATTCTATGCTCATGTTTATACTGACCTCTGCCTTCCTGCCTGCCACACCCATCCCTGCCCTCCATTCCAGCCAAACACCCATCCTCCACAACCTCTGATCTGGGCTCAGGGATCACCTATCTAAAACATTTTTCTCTCTCTTCTGCATGCAGCAAACTTTACTCATTCCTCAAGATCCAGAATGTGTGTCCTGTCCTCTCAGATGCCTTTCCCACCTCCCAAGAAAATCAAATGGCACCACCTTTACCTCCACTATATCTTCCTATCTCTCTGTTGTGGTGCATACAGCACCATCTTGTCACTGCTGAGAAGGTTTAACTCTCCCAATAAACACATCTGCTCAAGGACATCAGCTACATCTTATTTACTTCCATTTACTAGAAAACTAACTTAGTGCCTAACATATAATAGGCACACAGAGAATATTATATATGAAGAAATGAAAGTTTTTGCTTTCTATCAGGTACACTGAAATCTCATATACCTAATAATACCTGTCAGTAAAGCAACAGGCAAGGCTGTTACTTACTCTTACTACACTAAAGTTTCCTCCAGGCCTTTACTACTCTTCCAACCATTGGTTGTTATGAAGTAAGGAGGCCAGATCTGGCCAGCGTCATATTGGCCACATGGTAGATGGTAGGGTCTGGCATCGTCTTCTTCCTGGGGAAAGAAAACCCCCTGCCCATCACCTGCCTCCCAGGTAATGGGCATGGCTGGATCCTTGGAGGCAGAGGCAGACATCTGGTTGATAGGTTATTGAATCTATCAGTCCAATGCCTGGGACTGGGAATTTCCTGAGGATCTGCCCCCTGCGCCAACCTATTTAGGCCCGGATCAGCCTAGCCACTAGGATACCATACCACGTGTGTCTCTGTGATCGTGTCCTGTGTCCTGTCCTCTGGCTCATCTCTGGTCATCATGGAGTCCCAATTCAGCTCTCCATTGAAGCTGAATTGGCTTGCTGGTCTTGTTTTTGTTCTTTCTTTCCTCTTTAGCATGTTTCCTAGCAGTGTTATGTGTATTTGGGGGCTGCAGGTCTTTGTAACAATGGCAGCCTGCAGACAGTTAACTGTATAATAAAGACTCCACTATTATGTATTTTAAAATGTGGCTTTTGGGGGACTGGGAAGGTGGCTCCGTGGTAAGAGCACTTGCCTTGCATGCTCGAGGCCCTGGGTTCAATTCCTCAGCACCACATAAGCAAAAAAGAAAAAAAAAAGCTGGAAGTGGCGCTGTGGCTCAAGTGGTAGAGCACTAGCCTTGAGCTGAAGAGCTGAGGGACAGCGCCCAGGCCCAGAGTTCAGGCCCCACAACCGGACCCAAAAAAAAAAAAAAATGTGGCTTTTGGAATGATTCACCTTACAACAGTTAAAGCTCTATGCATCAGAAGACTCAGGTCACCAAACCACTGTGTTCTTTCCTATTTCTACTCAGAATGTTTCTGTTTTTTTGTTGGTTTTTTTTGGGTCCGGTCGTGGGCCTGAACTCTGGGCCTGGGCGCTGTCCCTCAGCTCTTCAGCTCAAGGCTAGCGCTCTACCACTTGAGCCACAGCGCCACTTCCGGCTCTTTTCTTTTTGCTTATGTGGTGCTGAGGAATCGAACCCAGGGCCTCATGCATGCAAGGCAAGCGCTCTACCACTGAGCCACCTTCCCAGCCCCTACTCAGAATGTTTCATCTGAACTCTAACCCTCCTCCATCAATTCAGAGAGAGCAGAGGTCACCTAGGTCTGAATGACACTCAGCAGAACTGGGTCAGAACCAATCTGTAAGGAACAAGAAACAGGCACACACATACAACAGCTAAGTACTGCTACACTAAATGAGAAATGGTCATACTTTTGTCATCAAAAATAGGTTATAAAAATGATTACCTTTCCTGATCATTAGTTTTATATATTTTCCCCAAAATGAACTAAATCATTTGCTCATACAAAGAGGATTAAAAATCACAAAAGTCAGAGGACAACAGAGAGGGGAGAGGAGGCCATGAAATGTCAAGCGGCACTCAGCAGAATCAGAAGGAAATCTTCCAGATGAGGTCTAAGGATGTGGGGGCTATGGACACTGCATCAGAGAAGGCACCAAGGTGGAGAGGCAGCCGGCTCATCCCGTTAGCCACTACACTAGGTCCCAGTGCTAAGAGGACATGCTCAGATCCACACACCTTCACACCGACAACCCTTCAGGGCTCTGCCCAGCAGGCTGCCAATTGCTTGCCCTTGTATTACCACCCTGAATGTGGAAGACTCTAATAGGAAAGGGAAGTCCCTAAGCTTGTTCAGACTCTTCTCTTCATTATACTCCTCTTATTTAAATGATCCAAAGTTAGAATTAAAAAGCACTTGTCAAGCCAGGTGCCGGTGGCTCACGCCTGTAATCCTAGCTACTGAGGAGGCTGAGATCTGAGGATCGAGGTTCAAAGCCAACCAGGCAGGAAAGGCCATGAGACTCTTATCTCCAATAAACCACCAGAAAACCAGAAGTGGCACTGTAGCTCAATAGTAGAGTGCTAGCCTTGAGCTGAAGAGCTGAGGGACAGCGCCCAGGCACAGAGTTCAAGCCCCATGATTGACAAAAATAAAAAATTTAAAAAATGGAAGTAGCGCTGTGGCTCAAGCTGTAGAGTGCTTGCCTTGAGCTGAAGAGCGTAGGGACAGCATCCAAGCCCAGAGTTCAAGTCCCACGACCAACCAAAAATAGTAATAATAATAAAAATAAAATAATAAAAAAATAAAAGCACTTGTCAGACATACCAATTTAAAGGTAGCCTCTTCCTGTAGAAGGGATGGTAACAGCATCCACCCAGGTTCACCTACAGAACTTCACTGGGAAGTGGCCACAGGGCTCCATAGTCACCCATGGCAGCACCTCCTACAGGTGAGGCCTCACACATCAGAGACCCACACCAGCCACATAAAGCAAAAGCAGTCATGCTGGCAGTTGTCAGGAGCATCTTAGAGGTATAAGAGACAATAGGAAGGGTCTCTGCTACCCTCAAGCTGCTACAAATAGGCTGCCCTGGCCTCCCACCTGACCTCTGCTCTCACCCACACTGGAGGGCCCCAGGCACGGGTTTCCCTGCTGAATGTAGGACCTGTGCCCAGATGCACCTACCATAATGGAAGACCAGCAGTGGGACACAATCCTCAGAGACTATATATAATAAGGAAGTAGCAAAGCTCCTGAAAGAAAATTGGAATCCCAACTGTTGGGAGAAAAGCACATCAATCAGAAACAGGAATGCCATAAACGTTGAAACTTGCTTCACTAGTTCTCAGAATTCTAGCTCAGAGAAGGCATTATTCATAGGAATCTAAGAGGGGAAAATTCAGTAAGGATGCATTTTCTTTATTCTAATGTCATCCTTTGTTTTTTTTTAAACCTACACATCTGCACCAAGGGTCATCTAAGTTCCCTCCTACTTTTCCAGCAAAGTTCTTCCACCAGAGACAGTCTCAAGAAGGAAGACTTAGCCTTCTCCCTTTGCAGGTGCAGGGAAGGGAAGCTGTGATTTCCTTTTCACTGTAATTAACACATTCCAGGTGAGAATGAAAAGACTGAATACCTGTAGGCTGTGATTTTCCATCTCTAGATGACTTTTCCTGCTCATCCAAATTAATTAACCCTTCCTCTCCAGGATGAGAGTCCTTTGGTCATTAGGCTGCCTATGGAGAGGTGGTACCCTACCTGACCTTCAAAAACTAACTACAAGAACTAACGCCATGTCCTGAGGGCCCCTTGATTCTCATCACATCAACTGCCTCCTCACCAGGAAGCTATAAGGTTCTAAAAGCACAAGACAGACCACATACTCACTCCCATCCTTACAAACTTTTAAAAATCCTCTACTGCTTCTGAATCACTATGCCCTACCTTGTGAACTAGCTCTGCAAGGTATTTAAAGCCATCTATAACCTGGCCACAAACCTTGTTCTCCTCTCCCTATGTTCCACCACTGTCTCAGTCAACAGCTGTTTCCTTGGTTGGGAGACTACACATCTTTCAGGGCTGAGGGTAAATGCCCTCTCTAGCCCACCAACAGCTTTCTGCATTCCCACAACACCTCATCTTTGCTGTCATTTAATAGTGACTGCAACTAATTTGACCTTGTTCAAAATGCCTGACTTAAAGTTATCTCTTCCATCCTGAGGGCTAGAAGCCTAAATATTTATACTTGCATGGGACCAATTTAAGCCAGCAGTTTTGTTTTTTGTTTGTTTGTTTTTCTGGTCTGATGCTGGGACTCAAATTCGGTACCTGACAATTTTATTTATTGGCTAGTACTCTACCATTTGAGCCACCCCTCCAACCTTAAACCAGCATTTCTTATAAACCCTCTGCGTGCTCTGAATATCTGCACAGTCATCAAATTGATACGCCAAGGCCTGTACTCAGCCATCATGTCCCCTTCCCATCCTCACGTCATCCTCTCCTCCCTTCCAGGCACACCATGCTGTTTTAGGTCTCAAAGGCCACAGCCTCTGAAGCAGATGTCACTAGATGCTGCTAACAGCCATTCCTTCCTGACTGCCATCAGTCCCGAGTCTGTCTGATGTCCTCTCTCCCTACAATGGATTGCCAGTGGACTGGCTCAGCAATTGCCACTTAATACAATTCAGGCCAATAGTATGAAAGAGGAATTCTGCTGATGAGCTCTGGGAAGACTGTCTTTGCTAGCAGAGACACAGGAGCTGATGGCCTTTCTTTTGTTGCTGAGTGCTGTGATTCTGAGCTTGTGTACAGACTGACACAACAGTGGTTAACAGAGAGGAAGGAAGATGAGAATGCTGGTGAACCACTTAACTAGTTCACCCTTGGGTGCTCCTAGACTTTTCATGTTAGGAAATAAACTCTGCACTTAAGCAGAAAGAATTGTGACTAATAGCTCCAATCAATTAGATGTATTAATAACAGTAACAGCAGTAATAGCATACTTCCATGATTTTTCAAACACGTGCTAAGCTCTGGATAGATATTATCTCTGATCCCCAGGGCAAATCTACATGAAAGCACAGATAAGGTGCTAAAACTGTTAAGGTGGGAGCTAGAATTTGTACCTGGGCTGCCTACCTCTGAAAATAATGCTCTCTGTGCTGTGTATTTCATGGTCTTGAATCTCAATCCTCTCTCCTCACACTGTCCTGGCACAAACAACACTCTAGCCCTTATAACTGTGAAGTTTCAGAAAAGAATGAGGCTGTCAAATGATCTGATTCCCTTACTGTAGAAACTCAAGAATCACAGGAAGGAAAACACATGCAAAGGTAGTAAAGTCATCAGGGACAAAGTCAGGGCTGGAAGAATCCAAGCTCCTGATTCCTAGGAAGACATCTTTTCCATCAACATGAAGCTGAGTACATCCAGTGGCAACTGGGTACATCCAGTGGCAACTGGAACCACCAAAGACTTCTGGCAAGTCAAGATCCAGGGCCTGACCTCTACCTCCAATAGTTCTACACAAACTGTCAGACCAGCTTGGGCTGTACTCACCAGGCGCACAGAATGCCTCTTGTCACGATTAGTGTCACTTGCCCCCGGAGACAGTGGGGCCTTCAAGAGCTTCGAGGCTGCCTCTCTTTCCCTCTTCACCACCTGGAACAGCTCATCCTGGACTGCAGCCTGCTCCTCTTTGAACCTAGGCCAGAGGAGAGAGAAAAGTAAATGCAGACAGCATGGCTGGAAGCACACTGGCAGTAAAAAGTCTGTATGTTCACTTCAGTTAGCCAAGTGAAATTGGGACTGTGGAACAATTGAACTCTGAGGCTGGCCTCTGGCTGGCCAGGAAAGGAAAAAGGCTAAGGAACTGCTTGTCCATCATCTAACCACTAAGATCAGCCTCCTGACAGCAGCAAAGGCCAGGGAATAGTGGCACTTTCTCATCTAAGAAACACAGATCAGGCACAGAAGTAGAGTTGGCCACCAGTCAAGGATGCTAGCACCGTATGTCCTGCGAGAGTCTCAGAGCAGGGACTGATTCTCATGGGAGCCACTCCCTCAGGAGGATGACAGAGGGGAAGCTTCACTTTCCTATGCCTCCATTTGAAAACCTACAGGTAGCAGTCCTGTTTTAAACATTTAGCTCTTCATTCTACATATGCTCCTATCTTGGACCTATTTCTGATTATTCTGCCTCATAAAAGCTATGTAGAGTATAACAGGTAATACTGCTAAGAATAATAAGATATTCTTAGCAGTATTACCTGTTATACTAAAGAAAATGAAAGCAACCTAAATATTCAACAATCAAAGTCAAGTTATCAAAAATAAAGCATAACCAATAACAATGATGTATTATAGCACTAATGATAAATACATTTAAGCCAGGCTCATGTCTGTAATTCTAGCTACTCAGGAGGCTGAGATCTGAGGATTGTGGCTCAACACTAGCCCAGGCAGAAAAGTCCATGAGATTGTTATCTCCAATTAACCACCAAACAGCTGGAAGTGGAGCTGTGGTTCAGTGGTACAAAAAAACTCAGGGAGGGCTGGGAAGGTGGCTCAGTGGTAGAGCGCTTGCCTTGCATGCCTGAGGCCCTGGGTTCGATTCCTCAGCACCACATAAGCAAAAAGAAAAAAGCTGGAAGTGGCTTTGTGGCTCAAGTGGTAGAGCGCTAGCCTTGAGCTGAAGAGCTGAGGGACAGCGCCCAGGCCCAGAGTTCAGGCCCCACGACCGGACC